AACAAAAAATAATTGTCATTTACAACATCTAAAAATATATTGTCTATAGTTTCAAGTGTGTCCATAAATTGCTATTCACAAGCTATAGGGAATGTGGTACCTTAGAGAAGCAAGCATGTCTTGAGAGAGAGAGAGAGAGACAGACAGAGACACACAGACACAGACAGACAGACAGACAGACAGACAGACAGACAGACAGACAGAGACAGACAGACAGAGACAGACAGACAGACAGACAGACAGACAGACAGACAGACATACAGACAGACAGAGAGATACAGAGAGAGAGAGAATGAGAGAGACAGGGACAGAGACAGAGACAAAGAGACAGGGACAGAGACAGAGAGAGACAGAGACAGAGAGAGGAGTTGTCTCAAACAAAGCTCACTGTCTTTCATTTCCTCCCACTCGTCCTCGGCGACTCTGACGTCCTCGTATTTCTGGCCCGCAACGATGAGCACCAGGCGAATGAGCTCAGCTTGACCTTTGCCCTCGAAACTGACCAACTGGTACGGTGCTCGCGCTGGAATCAAAAATAAAAAGAAACGGAACGAAATGAAAATAAATTTTATGAATGGGCTTCGCTGCGCTGGCAGTTTATGTATACTTTTCCACTTCAGGCAACCCCCCCCCCTTTTTTTTATGAAGAATGTAGTACCTGAAAAGATTAATCATGGTACGGCTTTAACTTTACCCATTGCAGTAGAGAAGACACTGGTGGTGAGAATGCGATCGAGGTGATGACTTTTCTTGTCCTGCCTGAGATACTGTATAAGCCCACTGTCCAACCGGGGGTACATTGAAATGTATAAGCGCAGTTCTGACAGGGGTACATTGTACTAGACTCCGTCTTTCTGGGAATACGAGTACTAGGAACTGTTCTTCAGAATAGCCGAACCCAGAGCGATGATAGATCGGAGACAACTCATGGGCGGTCTGGTGTTGTTGTTGTTGTTGTTTTTTCAGTATTACTATCTTATTTTGCTCAGATTTTCAGCAATTTTGACTCTTACTTTAGTTATACTTCCAAAAAATCGAGAGAATCGGACTCGAATGCTTTTTACGGGTAACGGTGTAGAACTTGATCATTACATGACAAACGTAAATGAACAATCCGTGGACTGTGGGATGTTAATTCCGTCTAAGTCTAAGTGTCCACTGAGACGACAAGGCCCGATTTTTTGCCGGGAGGAAGAAAATCGGTCGGGTCGTTTCCGTCTTAGGTGTCCACAAATACCGGAAAAGACACGTCTAGTCTGTTGGCCTACTTATTCCCCTGATGTGTACGCTAAACTGCTCTCGTGTCGGGCTGTGTCCTTGGTACGGGCTATAAATAGTCGAGGTCAATGAAACCAAGGCGGGAATAGGAAATGAATGGGGGGGGGTTTAAAGAAAATTGGTAAAATTGTTAATATTGGTAGACGTTGCTAATTTTGAGGCGCTGATTATGAATATGATTAGAATTTGTTTTAGCTCCGGAGTGGCCTATGGCTTTTGAGTCACAACCCGGCCGGGCTAAAAATGCAGAAAACGGCTTTCCAACCGACACGTCTTGTCGCGTCGTGTCTGTTGACACAGCCAAAGGGACTTTTCACTTATTTCTAAGGAAATATTCGTTGCTCCATTTCAACTAGACAGATGGAATCGGGTGGGTTGGTGTCCGTCGCAGTGGACACGGGCCCTAACCCAGAAAATAATAATAGATAGCAGTTGTAAAGCGCAAATCCCCGCTCAACAGCAAGCTCTATACGCTTCACAATCTATACTATTGCCCCAGCAGACCTGAGAGCATTCTGAAACAAACTCAACTTCCTGGGAAGCATACAGTGCAAGCAGCCATTTATAGGCGCTAAAACACTAAAATACCGACAAGATCTTTCACTGCCTATGGCCGGGTACCCATTTCCACCTGGGTGAAGTGAGGAAAATTCGTGTAAAGTGCCTTTCCCAAGGACACAACGTCGGGCCCGCGGCTCGAACCCCTGAACCCGCAACCTCACGATTACGAGTCCGGTAGCCTATCCACTAGGCCACCGACGCCACAAAACCTAACTTCAGAATCCATTTTTTTTTTAAAAGGAAAACGCGAAATAAACAGTTTCCTGAATACTCAACCCTCTCTGAGCCACGGAGTGTCGACCTACATTAATTAGTTATAGTAGGTACAACTTACGCTCATATGACTATATATTATGGATTTGCGAGTTGCGAACGCCGTAAAACACTTAACAAAACAAAACGAAAAGGTGAAAAGCAATGCAGCGATGTTTCGTCGTATGACACGGAAAGGGCTGATTCCTCTCTCTGTCTCTGTCTCTCTCTCTCTCTGTCTGCCTCTCTCTCTCTCTCTCTCTCTCTCCAATCTACCCCATTCCGCGCTGTCCTCTTTTATCTTCTGTGCAATGAACTCCCTGGCGGCTTTCTCTGCAGCTATTTCCATCTTCATGTGCGTGAACATATCGTCGGAATAGCGGGGGGTCTTGTTCTCTCCAAACTCTTTGTCTGACGCGTCCTCTCCAAACTCGGCCGTCCTCACAGAGAAGCGCCGCCTCACTTCCCATAAATGGGACAGACTGGCGAATTATGGGACAAGAATAAGAATATATAAATATATTACTGTGGTTCTCAGTGGCAAAACTGAAGGCAAACGAGGCAGTGGTAGACCTAGAGCAACCTACTAGGAGAGCCTAAACAGGTGAATGACGAGGAAATATCAGGATAGTGTAGCTATTTTGAGAGCGTCACAGCAAAGGAATGAACGGAGAACCATAATCGCCGATTAAAATTTCTGTTCTCAGTGTCTGGAAATGATTACAATATATCAATCACATCATTCAGGGTAGTTGATCAATACTACTTTTTGAAGTGAAAACACGGCCTGGGGGGGGGGGAGTGTTAAGTTACCTATTTAATCTAAGTTTGTGTCAAAGGGGGCGTGTGGTTGGTTGGCAGATGCTCAGGTGTGGTTTACTCCTTCTTTCCTATCAAACATCTATCGTCTTTATCTCTCCTCCTTTTTGGGGGGGTATGTTTCACTCTTAAAATTGTAACACCTCTAATCTTCGGCACTTATATGGCCAAATTGTGCTGAGTGTCATAAAACTCTTTTTAAAAATAAAAGAAGAAAGCGTAAAAGATTAATAATTATTATTAACAATCATCCTGACGTTGTGTCCCTGGGAAAGGTACTTTACACGGAGTTCCCATTTGGCTTGTCCCTTCGGAGATGGGACGTTAACCTCGGAGGCCCCACCTCTTAAATAACCTAATAATGTGGATACTTTTCTTTTTCATCCTTTGTTGCCGTTAAGCGTCCAGAGGAAATGCAGTTTTCTATGGCAGGCTAGCACCGCAGCTCTTTCAGTTGGGATATCAAAATTTCTTAGGATTTCCTTGACACCCTCAATCCTCCTTTTTGCGTGGCCTTCCTCTTCCTTTATAGCCTGAGTGCTTGGAGTTATAGGCTCTAGAGGCTGGCTGGTTAGGTGACATATTTAAAGGTGGCCAAACCATTTAAGTCTCTGTCTTTCTATGAAATGCAGGCAGGACTCAGTGCCAGTTATATAGCTGCTCTTACCTCTTCATTTCTCTGACTGTCTCGTCTTGCGATTTTAAGGGTTTTGCGGAGACATTTCGTTTCGCATACAGTGATTTTACTTTCATCGGTTTTACATAATGTACTGGTAGCATAATGTTTGTATAAATGTTGAAGTGTTGCTGTCTCTTTGTGTGCATGGAGATGTTTGTATGAGATAGGAGGGGTGGAGCTGCAAGGTGGCAGCTTCGGCTTTTTGAGTTCGCATTTCTGTTTCTCTGTCTATGTACCCGTTTTCAGAAAAGGTGCTGCCAAGATATTTAAACTCTTTCTTCACCTGTTTCAGTCGTTTACTATTGACATGGATGTTCAGGAGACTGTGGTTTCGGCTCACTTTCATAACTTCTGTTTTTGATGTGCTTATATTCATATTAAATTACTCGCAGCTGTTGTTCAGTTCGATAGTGTTATTTTGGTAGCTTTGTTGGTTTTGGATGAATGAGACATAGTGTTGATAGGGGCGTAAAACCAACACAATTTTTCTAGTTAACCATCATGGCAATGGAGCACTCACGCCGTGTTCTGTCCTCCACTCCCGCTCCACTCCACGTAGGCCCCGGGCAGCACAATCGCCAGCTGGAGACGTGACGTAGAGCCAACCCTGTCGTTCAAGGAAGTAGTCTCCTCCTCGTTCTCTGCCTGAGGGCGTTTCTTCTGGTAGGACCTGCGCCGTCTCATGATATGGAACGTTGTCTATTGAAATGGGGGAGGGGAGAAGAGGTGGCAGTAAAGTGGGTTGATTTTTGTTAATGTCTTTTTGTTGTTGTTGTTGTTGTTGTTGGTTGTTGTTGTTGTTGTTGTTTTTGTTTTTGTTTTTTGTGCCAGGTAAAAATGGTAATTATAAGACGTTTAAATGGTATGGAGTTTTGTCTATTGAAAGGCAGAGGGAGCGGTGGCGGAGTTGGCAGTAAAATGTTTTTTAATACTTGGAAACAGGTTTAAAAAATGGTAATTGCAAGGGTTTCAATGGAGTGGTGTTTTATCTTTTGAAATAGGGAAGGTGGAGGTTGTATTAAAGTGTTTTGATTTATTTTGTCTTGATACCTTTTCGTTTGTTTGGGTTTTTGTTTTTTGTGCCATGTTATAAACATGGTAGTAGTAAAGATTAAAAGGGTATGTTCAGTTCGATAGTGTGGAAAGAAGGGGGGGGGGTGGGCAGTAAAAGGTTTTTAGTACCAGGTAATTCAAAAAGAATTTGCAAGGGTTTCACAGTGCCTTGGTAAACACTGTAATGATATCTTTGAGGTATCGCCTTTGAGGATTTAAAGCTCATCTCCAGTGAAATTGCTTATTGGTGGGTTCCAGCCAATTTCCAATATTTGCTGAACCTCCAGATTTAACGTTCCCCTCCCATATAATTTTCCTCATTTGCACATAAAGTTCATATCACATTCCTTCAGGGGGCTCTCGTGACCCAGAGGTTAATGTGTTGGCCTCTCATTCAAAGGTCCCGGGTTCGAATCCGGATAGCGACCGAAAAATGTTCTTCTCTAAAATTGTCTCCTTTCACCTCCTTTCCTGCTCTCTAGGAATGTTCTGTCATCTACTTTCGTCTCCTCTTTCTGCCCCCACCCCCTCACTTCCTTGACCCCCTCCTCTGAGCTCCGGACTCTTTCTGAAGCCTTTCTACTGCTACTCCTTGGCTCCTTCTTACTGCAGTCTTTCAGACACACCCGTGATCTTCTGGTAGGAAAGATTTTCACCTAGCCTTCTCGGACAAGGGCCAAAAAATCTAAGAGGGCCCGTGTGCAAGTTGCGCACTTTAAAGATCCCTTGGTGGTCTAAAATCGATTAGAGTGGCTTCGACCACCACCCGGGCAAAATTCAAAATTGTCTACGAACTGAAAATGTTTCATGTGACCTGCGCGCTCAAATGGCCGTATTCAGTTGCGAGCGCCGTAAAACACTTACCAATTTATTTTTTTTTTAAATTATTCCTTCACAAAGAGTGTCAAGCTAGAAAAGCTGGCGTTGTATAGGTTTACCGCCTATTCCATCACCTTAGGCTTATCATAAAAAAGGGAAAAACTTCCACTTCAATGCCCATACGTATCCTATATGAAATGACAAATTGTCCAGAAACGCCTTTATAAAACACTTATGCCCGGCAGATAAGACGCACCCTAAGAAGCATAAACTATAATGGGGAAAACAAGCAAAACACGTTAGCAGAACAGACTAATTGTTGACGCTTTACCATGCTTATGAAGTGATTCAAAATGTTTTACACCGACCATCAATAAAATTGATAAAGTTTAAAAGACTCGGGTACTTCATATTTTAAGTTGGCGTGGTTGTCAAGCTTCGGATCTTTAACTAGCAGATTTTTTTTGGTCTACAAAATGCACTTTCTGCCCTCGAATCTTGATTTTACCTTCCGATTCTGGAGACATGAGAATGAGCACACAGTACATTTAATGTTCACTATCTATCTATCTGTCTATCTATCTATCTATCTATCTATCTATCTATCTATCTATCTATCTATCTATCTATCTCAAATGTCTGGTTTGTGTAAGAGATATGAAATAGATTCCAGCTGCCTGTAAATGAACTCACGTCGTTTGTGAGCAACAGAAAAGAGTTGTATCATCACACCACAGACGCCAGTGCATGGGACAGGAGAGGAGTACAGAAGTGCCAGCCAGAAATATGTAGAACAACAGAAACTATTTAAAATTATGGGCACAGCTGAGCGAAGTCACTTAGAGTAAACGCACAAAAAACAAATTTCTCTTGGTGTTTAAAAAAGCAGAAAGGACAATTAAAAATGTAATATGACATTGACATTGACGATTTGGTTGTTTGAGGCTCTAAGTAGAGTCTGTTCAACTATTTGGTAACGAACAACAATAATGCATTGCGTGCAGGCTAGACAAATCAGTGTTGGCAGCTGGGGTTATAAATAGTTGGGAGATCTTACCAGTATTCGTCTAGACGTCTCTTAAATGTGTCCACGTTTGGAGCTGACACCACTGATTCGGGAATATTGTTCCAAATAGTATTAACCCTATTCTCAAAAAAGTTTGCCCTCACACACAATCTGCTTCTTTGCTTCTGGAGCTTCTCTGAGTTGCCACGGAGTTGTGTGGTTGTTGCCTTTGTAAACGCTGGTCTTTCAGTGATGTAGTAGCCTTTGATGTACTTGTACGTTTCTATCATATCACCACGTAACCATATGCACGCCATGCATTATTGTCGTTCATTACCAGATAGTTGAACAGGCTCTACTTAGAGCCTCAAACAACTAAATCGTCAATGTCAATGTCATATCATTAGTTTATCATTTGTTTCATAAACTTACCGCATCTATAACTTCCAAGAAATAAATGTACGCACCTGGCTGGGAAAAGACTAGATCTATGTCTTTTTAGATTGGAACCTAACCCAACTCACTGGACACTTCCGGAAACTAAAACGTAGTAATTCATCTCCTGTGTCAAGGGTCATTCATAGATGAACCTGCACCATTTTGTATCCCAACGCATGACGTACGGGGACTACTTGCTTCCTTGGAGAGAACGTCATGACTTCTAGAGATTATGTCTAGGCAACCATACTGTATCTCGTTCCGCCAAATCATTAAACAATTTGATATCTTGAAACGAACTGCATGACAGCGTTAAAGATATAAATCTGTTTTCTTTTTCTTTTGAAAGCAAATCGTTTATTTTGGACTGTCCAAGAGTCAGTGCCCCCTTACAAACTGAAAATAAAAAGCCACAAAGACCCGAACTACAAATAAAACCTCATCTTATCTCTCGTACAGGACTTCGCTCTCGACACGGAAGGTAAGACTAAGAGACATGTCACACTCTTTCTCAATGCTAAGCGACACAAAATAACACCTATGAAAACAGAGGTCTTAGCTCTTTAAGAGAAATATGCGAGTCCGATGCGGCCTATGTACAAAAAGCTACTGAATTACTGTTGCTCAGTTATGCGTATAATAAAGAAAACGAAACTCCTAAAAGTTTTGTTTACATTTCATTCTTCTTACCCGGAAGAGAAACAAATAAGAACTCTCCTCACGTGGATAGCCTATTTGAACACAAAATGTGTGTTCTTACGTGACGTAGAGAAAAGCGCATAGATTGTCAGCGTCAGAAAAGAAACGCCACATTTGTTTGATCAAAAATCTATTGAAACAATGGACAAAGTCAAGGGAATAAAACCGAAAAACGGAAAAGGGAACAAGCGAAAGGGGATAAAGAGAGTGAATAAGGTGCCCAGATGTAGCCCAGAATGTTGGAGCAACAAGGACAGAGGTTCAGACTCACAGAAACAGCGGTTTGTAATCTAGATCTAGAGATCTAGATCTGGGTGCTTTTTCGGTAGTTCCCACCCCCCTTATTTGAGCCTGACCTACATCTAGATCTAGATTCTAGATCTATACGTTTGATTCGCGGTGAGCTAAGATATCAAACCTAACAACTGCAAAATATTAAATTATGGTAAAATTCAGGGGGGCATGCCCCCCTTCCTATTTTTATTAGGTCAGGGGGGCAAGCCCCCCTGAAACCCCCCTACTCTTGTGGCCCAAACCCGTGAATAAAATTGCGGGGTGGGAACTACCGAAAAAGCGCCTAGATCTAGATCTGTAGCAAGGTTTAATTTTTTAAACTGTTTGTTTCGGTTTTGGGATTCTTCGGGTCCTGAAGACAGGAGATAAAAGAGAGAAGGGGTTGGGGGAGGGGTAGGGAGATAGAGAGACAGTAAGACAGACAGAGAAAAGGAGACGGAGAAAGACAGGAAAAAGGAGGCGGAGACAAAGAGGGAGGAAGGGAGAGAGAGAG